ATCCCCCTCCCCTGCATTTCCCTTTCCCCCTCTCTTCTCCCTCTTTTTCACAAATCGATCCCTAAACCAGCAACAACAACACAAAAATAGCCTTCGCCTCTGCCATCTCCATCTACTGAACTCGTTGGTGGCAAGACAGGACTGCATAAGCAAAATTTTCTAAAATCAAACTAAATTTTTTTAAGGATACTCAACCACGAAAAAAGAGTAGAGCAACAATGCTAATAGTTCAGATGGTTGGTTTTGATGTTATACGTTGCTTTTGTTATGGTCTCCAGTATATCAACTGCAACAGAGATGTTTCCTCCAATCATCTTTAGCGCACGATTTAGAAGTAAGTCATCTTGTTTGTGTCAAACGGAAACATTCATGGGTTCTTAACTCCCCTGTTAGTGTAAATGCAGCAGCAGCAAAGAAGTTTGACAACACAGCAAGCACCCAGGCAAAATGATACAATGCAGACTATGCAGTAGGTGATATGTGTCTCGAAGGTTTTGAGTTACTAAAGTTCATGTTAAAATAAACATGAATTAAAATGGATTATTCTATTAAGCAAACATCTCCTCTAATCATACAAAGATCAGATATCCAATTCACAAACAAGTTGCTCTTGATGATATAAGCATTTCGTCCAACAAGTCTGTATTCCACGGGAGAGGCTAAAAAGAAAATGACAAACAGAAATTTATAGATGGGTCAGTTATGTTTTATCTGCAATGTTTTAATTTGAAAATTTTTATTAGAAATACATTGATTTCTAAAATACATGCTTTTTCTTATACATTATTTTGGTAAAAAAATATTTTATTAAATCATGCATAATACACGGTATTATGTACTCTATCAATTACCTAAAAAATTCATCCGGAATTTGTCACGACTATACAAGTAAAGTGACATATTATAATATTACATACATTATTATCATATTTCTCGTAAATACATAATTTCTTTAAATTAATGTATGTTACCAATACCATTCATATTTGTAAAAGTTGAGAGGTTTGGCTTGATGGGCTACCAATTTTGCTCATTGACTATCTCTTACGGGATGATATAACTGTAGTGTTGACGTAATATAATGAAGTAGGTTACCCATTTAAAAAAAATTATTGTGAAACTTGGGCTATATTTTGTCCGTTCGACGTGTAAGGTCATGGAGTGGTTTCTACATCCTGATGGACTGGGCTAAACAGAAAGGAGCTATTACTGGTCCATTCTATAGTTCACATCCGTTTTATGTTATTCACAAATTGGGGCTCGGGCAATGGGTTCGGATTTCTAGGCATTGGATCCCAAGCAGACTGGCAATTGGCAAAGCACTATAACCTCTCTTTTTTGTGGGTATGGTCCATGAAAATTTTCTGGTTTAGATTTTTTCCCCGGCAATTATTTCTGCTTTAGATTGGTTTGCCCTTGCTGTAGATTTTACCACACAGTTGAAGAAGGCGTTAGGTAGGATGGGCAGTGAATGAATTAGACGGTTATTAGTAGGGTGGAAATCGGTACGGTATCGGTATCCCAATACCAAATACCAAAATCCGGAATACCGAATTACATCCTAGAATCAATCCGAATCTCAATCCCTAAATAATTTTGGTATCCCAATCCCAATCCCTAAATATTTCGATATCCCAATCGGTACTTCGATATCCCAATCGGTATTATCGAATACGAAATTAATTACATTTATAATTACTAATTAATATATAAATTAGATTTGATTGTTTAATACAGGACAAATAGACTAAACAAAGAGTTTTGAGTTTGACTAGAGCTATGATATAGATAAGGAGAATCGAGTAGATGTGACATCTCAAGTTTTTGTCATTGGTAATCTTTAATTTGACGAATTGGAGGCTGCGAGAAGACTAATACTAGTGTTTGCTTTTTGGTGTTATGAAAATAACAATAGATTGGTGGTTGAGGGTTGTGTAGTAGTTAATGAGAGAGTCTAGTTGAGAGGATAAACTACACACTAGCTTATATTTCGGTATTGTTCGGTATTTCGGTATATACCGATCCCAATCCCGTAATCCCTAATACCAATAACAATTGAAATTGAATCCCAATCCCAATCCCAAGAAATAATACGTGTGTTTGGTAATACTAAATATAGACAAATTCGGTACGATATTCGGTATATCCCAAATACTGGTACCAAACTTCCAGCCCTAGTTATTAGTGTAAAATTCATTCACACAAGGTGTTGGTTGGTGATGAAAAAGTAAAATTCTGGCACACAAGTTTTTGGTTGGTGATGAAAAAATGATATGCAACATCCATTTTATAATTATGGATGGATGATGGTGGGTGCGTTTGGTGAATTTGGTATGTTAAATTCTTTTTTAAAGTATAAGATATTTATGGACCATAATAGTTTATAATAATTAATTAAACATCAAGGATACAAAATTCAACAACTATTAAGCGTAGTTTATTGCATAATCTAAAATTAATAATTTCATTCTTTTTTTTTTGCCAAAAATATTCCGGAAGAAATAGCAAGATACAAAAATATACAAGACCAAAGAGGTCAGGCAAAATAAAAAAGAGCAAAACGATAGTCGACAAGATGTAGTTCCATCGATGAAATGGCCTGTTTCGCCACGGTATGGGCCGCCCTGTTATACCTACGCGGAACAAAGTAAAACGAAACACGCGCGAGAGATGTTCGCACCGCCTGAACCTCTTTTAGAATGACACCCCCCATAGCGTGAGACGATTCATTCGCAGCAACCATCCGGATGCCAACCTGCGCACCACCACAAAACAGGACATTAGTAATCGAATGGGAAAGGCACCAGCGCATGGCATCACAGAGTGCAATTAGCTCAATAAGAAAAGGATTAGAAACTACCGCATAGAACCGACCAAGAGAAAACAAAATAGTCTTTTGCGAGGACAACCCCACAAAGCCAATGGCGCCGCCAACCTAGACTTTTGTTGCGCCATCGAAATGGACCAACATGAAACCTTCTGGGATGGGTGGGGGAATTGTGTTGCGTGAAGAAGGTGGCCCTGGTTGAGTACGCCGACGCCGAGTTGTGGTAGCCTCCTGAGCTACATTCTATTCCAATACTTGACTGTTAAACTGCCGCAGTAATATAGTTGGGAGAAATTGAATGAAATCATAAGTGAAGGAGCATCTTCCTTTCTAAATTCTCCAATAAAGGAATACAAGATGAGAAAGATCAGAAACACTTAATCTTGCATCCAATAGCAAAAACCTCCATCCAATGACAATATACAGTGAACTTATTTGCAAAAGAATGTGATTATAACCTGCAAGATCCCACAAGGTAGTAGCTATTCTGCATTCCAAGAAACAGTAAGATAAGGTTTCCACTGGGTGTGGGTGAACAAACTGAACATAATAAGCCTTCTAAATCTTCCATCCTTTATGATTTATTTATCTCGCAGAACATCTTTAACAGGTAAAAATCCTTTTACCAATCTCCAAATGAAAATTCTTAGCTTAGGTGGAACCGAGAGAGCCCAAAGAGCTTTCCATGTTATAAGAAGCAAAAATGATGGAGATGGTAGAGGGATTTTGAACAAATTCAGTAGTAGCAATATGGTATCCAGATTTGACACAAAACTCTCCTGACAGTTCATAATGCCAAACAAGTTTGTCCGCCATGGGAAGGTGTGGAAGTGGGATGCTAAGAATCACCTTAATTGTGGCAGCATCAAAGAGGGTATGCAGAACATCGGATCGCCATGTCTCATTAAAGTGATCAATAAAGGAAGCTACCTGATTTGATGACAGAGTTGCTTGCGGCAACAACTTGGGACTATATGGTGGAGTGGTGGGAAGCCATCAATCATTCAGGATGTGAATTAGTGCACCTAAACCAATAGTCCATCGGAGCCCCTGCAACTGTAGGTCACGACCAACCAAGACGCCTTGTTAAGCCCAAGATGGTTGAGTACCAGGAGTGGCCTGCAAAAACGAGACTTGAGAGACATATTTAGATTTGTACATGACAGCAAGAGGACAATCCAGATTCTGCAGGATGCACCAAGCTTGTTTGGCAAGAAGAGCTTTATTATTACTGTCAAAACCTCAAAATCCAAGTCCACCATTGTTCTTGTGGTCGCAGAGGGATCTCCAGAATGTCAAGTTCATGCCCGTATCCCTATCCTGTTGATCCCACCAAAACTTCGATAGATGACCATTTAGACGACGACAAAATGTAACTGTCATACGAAAGCTTAGCATTGCATAATTCGGTAAGTGAGAGAACTTCCGTGGCAGCAAGTGAGAGAGCCTTGGATTTCCATTGTTGTGGCCGAGTAACGAGCTTGTCTTCGATGAAATGGAAAGTAGCATGCTTGGAACGTGATATGTGAGTAGGGATCCCAAGGTAGCGATCTTCTGTGGTACTTTCATTCATTCCTAATAGAGATAGCATTGCTGCTACGTCAGTAGGAGATGTGTTGCTACTAGGCATGTCGGTTCGGTTCGGGTAACCAAAACCAAAACCCACGAAAAACCGAAAACCCGAAACCGCGCCACACAACCCAAAATCGAAACCAAAACTGTACTTTGTGGGTTTCGGATACTGGAACCCAAAAATTATGCTGCGGTTTTGGTTCTGTTCGGGTGAACCCGAAACCGAACCGGTTTCGTTGTTTTTTTTGGTACTTTTGTGATTTGAATTTTACATTCTTTTGCTTGTACAAACAATTTTATTATTATTTGTACATTCTTATTTAACCATTATGTTTAATTTTATGGGACGTGGACAGTATAAAACTAATATTTATATATTAGTTTATTATTAAAATATTCGTTAATTATTAAAATATTTAATTTTATGTATTCTATAACTATAGACATACTATTAACTATTAAAGAGTAATAGTAGTTTAGAGACAAAGTAAAATACTTAAACATATTTTATACGTAACTTAATCATATCTTATTTAATTGTGGATTTTCGTATAATTAAATGTTTTAGTAATACCATAAGTCCAAAATTGAAGGTATATCAACTATCATATGCAAAAAATGTTTGGTGTTTGGCGCAAAATTATAAATAATTTTTTTCAACATAAAATACCGACAATCATAGATGAGATTATCTTCAACTCGTAATTAAACACATTAGTTTTACAATTCTCAAATGATAACATCCAAGTAAAATCAAAGTTCATCTACCATACAAGATAAACACTACTACTATTATCACTCCTCATCAAGCTCTACATCCACATAAGTCTCATCATTCTCATCAGAATTGTCGTCGACATAGTCTTCTTCCACTTATGACATAGTAGGACTCGGGATCAAAACATGGGTAGCAGGAGAGCTTCCACTAGGTCCTGCATGAGAGCTTCCACTAGGTCCTGTAGGTGCACTTGCACTCAGAGCTTGAAAAGCTGCATATACTGGATAACATAAACAATAACGACTTGTTAGAATATGACTTGATCAAGATAACAAATATATGAATAAAGAGAAAGATTAAGTCCTTACCAGTTTGAAATACCACTTCATCACCCTCATCTTCTCCATCAGCCACCAACTCGGAGTCTGAAGATCTTATCCAATCTTCACAACAAATCAAAGCCTCCACAACTTCAGGGGATAAGGATGTCCTAAACGAATCTAAAACTCGACCTCCTGTGCTGAATGTCGACTCAGAAGCAACATTGGAAATAGGAACAGCAAGAATATCCCTAGCTATCTCAGAAATAGTAGGATATTTCATCCCAATTCGCGACGACCATCCCAAGATGTCAAACTTGTAGAAGTCCCATATCTAGTGGGAGCCATAAGAATACCATTGCAATAAATGCATCTTGCTTTGTCCACTCCATCCTTCTTAAAACGCTTGAAGTGTGGCCAAACGTCAGAATTTTCTTTCCTTTTTCTTGAAATTGTCTCCTCGTCTATTGTTTGAGCATGAGGTACATTGGTGGTACCGGTAGACGGTGCAGGAGCAGGATCGGAAGGCGGTGCAGAAGATGGTGCATGAGCAGGAATGCTGGTACTCTTAGAGCGTCCTCCACATCTAGGACGAGAAGCCGATGATGCCTCACTTCCCCTGTCAAAATGAAAAGTTGAGTTGAGTTGGTGCTGAGATTAAAAACACTCACTATCCACAGGTTATAAGACACAAAATGAAGTAAACCTCACATTGTTAATCTCAACTGTGAAACTCAACAACAAAAGTCGGAAATCATTTCCATTATATGTATACATAAGATAGGGAACATATTGTGTAATCACGAAGACTAATATGGTAAAAACACAAGCTGAGTCATTAATATACGATCTATAATTGAACTTTTTTCAATAACTTGAATTACAAGGAACAAATGACCAACCAAGATAGACGACAATAAGAAGACTGGACATCAAACTGGAAATTTCAAGTGGGTAATTTGAGAGATGGCCACAGATGCCCTAAATCATTTGAACAAATTGACTGGTCTTGCACACTAGGCATCACATAGAATCCCACTGTCACCATTAAACCTTATCCTCTCAACAAGACAAACTTCCAACCTCTCAACTCTCAAGTCTCAACTCAAAAAGGATTCGATATTTGTCCTCCAAACCAAACAATAAAAACCCAAGAAAAGAAAAATTCTCAGAACAAGAATGGCAACTCCATTCCTCTCAACTGCAAACGCCTTCCTCTCCCCATCTCTCCCTTCCTCAACATCACAATCACCATTACCTCATTCCTCATCTTCTTTGCTAGCAGTTCTACAGCCCTCGAGGACAGCCAAGAAGCTCCCCAATTTATGCAGAGCTTCCAATGAATCCTCATCAGCAGAATCCCCTGACGTAGTGACCAAAAGGAGAAGCTTAGCGATTTGCCTAATCACTGACCATCCACACCCCAGTAAGATTATTCAAGCTGACACCCAACTCCTGCAGCTGACTGCAGTTGCTCAACCCTGTAATGAACTCCAATCGCTAGATGAATTCGTTCCCAGTGAAAAGCCAACTAAGCCAAACCCAATTTCTCAGCTCAATTAAGAGCTCTGCTAGAACACCTTCAACCCTTAATGAAAACACAGATCGACTTCTAATGACCAGCGCATTCCAAACAATAACAAGAACCCAGTAATAAATTGAAGCAATAGAAGAATTGTTCGAAGAGCCTCACTGGGATTCCATGGTGGAGTCGTCGGAAAAATGTGGGCACTGGGTCTCTCCTTCCCGAGGCGAAGAGCGAAGCGGCGAGGAAGGGATTCAACTCTGTCAAATACTAGAACCCACGAACATAGTGCAAGGAAGTTGATGGAGGCAGCCGGCGAGGGATTCGATGGCAGTCGAAGGTCCTCACTAGGCCGCTGGCGGCGAGGACGATGATGGTGGCGAGGGAGCTCTGTTTCGATGGAGAAGACGAAGAGACTGAGACTGCGCCTGCGAGAACGAGGTGGAGTCGAGAGCTAGGGCTGACTCTCCTTCCCAAACCGACAGCGTGAAGCCGTGAACCCAGTATCAGCTTTCGGGTTGCTTTCGGTTTTTCGGGTTTCAGTAACCCAAAACCACTATTATAGAAATCGGGTTGAACCCGAAAAACCAGAAACCGAGAATGTGAATAACGGTTCGGGTTCGGGTTAAACTGCAAACCTGAAACCGAATTGACAGGCCTAGTTGCTACTGAAGGTGACTGATGATTTGTGTAAATTAATCTTTTGGCGATAACCCGTTGGTAAGAAGCAAACAATGCACGAATATTATGGCATTCAGGGATATAAGCTCTTAGGAATAAATAAGTATCATCGGCAACGAAAAGATGCGAAATCACCGGGCACCGCCAATGTAATTTCATGCCATGGAGAAATTGAGCTTGTATTTCATGTCGATGAAATGAGAAAACCCTTGTGTAGAATGAGAAGGTTACAGTTGAAACATTTGACGTAACCAATTCAACCAAACATCACAACAACCCAGAGGATGTAACAATGGGAATAAAAACTCCCATTTCTATCCTATCATAAGCTTCTTCCATGTCTAGCTTTAAGGCCATCCATTTTTCATGTCCAGAAGTCTTAGTTTTGAGAAAATGCTGAACTTCCTACCCAATAAGGATGTTATCAGAGATTAACCGTCCCTTTATAAAGCTATTTTGAGAAGAACTTACCGCTCTAGGGATGATGGATGCAAGACGTCTTGTAAGAACCTTAGAAATCACCTTGTATGGGACTTTGCATAGCTCAATTGGCCGCATTTGTCTCATTTTATATGCATTTTGGGACTTTGGGCAATAGGGTGATCCAAGTATGATTAAAATTGGGTAGAAGATGTCCTGAAACAAAAAAAAATCTTGTACCGCTACCACAACTAAATCACCTAATAGGCCCCAAAAAGATTGAAAGAAAATATCAGTAAACCCATCTGAACCGGGCCCTGATAACCACCTATACAGAAAACAGCGGAACGAATGTCATCTCTAGTAATGAGAGCAGTTAAAAAAGAATTCATTTCATTAGTAATCAGTACAGGTAGCACTAGAGAATCTAAGAAGGATTGGAAATTCGAACATTCGGAAGTGAATTGATTGATAAAATATTGGACAACAAGCATACCTTTTTCCGTTTCATCCGAATGAAGACTTCCATTGCCATCTCGCAGTGCCAGAATCCTATTTTTCCTCTGTTTTTGCAAGGTAGTAAGATGAAAGAATCTTTAGTTGGAGTCTCCTTACGTTAGCCAGTGAGCCCGTGATTTCTGATACCAATATATCTCCTCTTGAATATATGCTTCAGATAGTTGTTGTTCTAGTTGGCTGATGGTACCCCAATCTATAGGAAACGTTTCTCGGGTGATAGTGATTGCCTCTTGGATTTCTCCGATGGCTCTGGCAGAGTTAGATGTGCCTTTAGATGCCCAGTGGAAAAGTTGATGTCAAGATGACTTCAAAGTATTGCGGAGCTGGAATTGTTGTTTGCCACTACAAGGGCGACACCATTCTGTGTCCAATATTCATGTTGCTTTGAGGTTATCGATCCAACGATAATCAAAGTGGAAAATTGGCTTTCGTACGAGCTTTCGCCGGGTGAAGCTGTAACAAAATCATGCGGTGGTCAGATCCAAGGTCAGATAAGTGATGAAGTTGCATACCTTCCCAAGTTGTGAGAGCTTATGGAGAAGATAATTAGCGATCAAGACGCTCCATGATGTGCTCCTGAGGTGATGTACGGTTAGACCACGTAAAAGGAGGACCGACGAATCCTAAAGCCTGCAAGTTATGTTGAACAAGATGATTCTATAATAAGTATAATGAATGGGGGGTTGGGAGTCAAATACCAACCTTTTCAGATGAGGCCAGAAGACAATTGAAGTCACCCATGATGATGAAGGGGGAAGAAAAGACAGGAGGTAAGTAGAAATATCATTTAATTGATCAACCCTGTCACTCTCATTACAACTCAAGTGGACAAACACAATAGCAAAGCAACCATAAAGTTGGTGAACACATTCCACGACTAAGAAAGAAGAACATTGAAAAACAACTATACAATCTAATTCAACAGCCTAGGCAAGTGCCATCCCTCTTGAAGTGTTTATGGGACTCACAAGAACATAATTAGGAAAGCCTAGACGAGTAAGACGCGACTTAACTTTCCTATCACGACATTTTGTTTCACAAATAAAGACAATCATAGGAGACCTACTAAATACGACAGTTAACAGAGACCTTCGCACCAAGGACTTGCTAAATCCTCGACAGTTCCATGCAAGGATACTCATACCTGGGGTTGGGAACGATCGAGGCCGGTTTCCTCCACCTGAATAGAATCAGTATCAGTGAGCAGCATCCCATCAGAGTCCTCCACACACATTGCCTTAGGGGCTGGCGGAATTTCACCATCTTCCATCAAGCCATGTTTGCGGGACTGGGAATCAGGATCCAAAGAAGAAGGACCTGCAAGAGCAGGCCTTAGTGACAGATTTTGTAGGTCAGACATGTTGTGGGCATGATCTCCTCGCGGGTGTCCTTCCGAATCAGTCTGGTTCCATGAGAAGCGAGCTATCTTCTTTCATAGGGTATGCTCATCAACTCGAGGGCCTTTGTCAAAAATTAGAATATGTTTACCAAAAGGAAGATCTTGACCAGTCATGGTGAGGATTATGTCTCAACGAGCACTGACATGGCCTATAACACCACAACAAAAGCAAAAAAGATGTAGTTTTCACAATAAACTGAAACTTTGAAACACACCTTACTACAGCCGAAGTAGGAACCTTTCAGAATTGAACCCATAGGGGAACGTGAAAGAGGGACTCGGCGGCCGCCGGAGTTGGAACACACCAGGGGCGAAGGTGAATCAGGAAGCGTTGTTGAATCCAGGGGGATCTGTCTCGAATGCAACGATGATCCGAGGCATCTGAGAAGATGAATTGGTGAGACCCTCTTCAGCAGGTAGCACCGTCAGCGAGTCGTAACAATTCCAAAAATCCACCAAGATATTATGAAGGGTCGCGAGAGAGGGAGCAGGACCATGGATCTTACCCAGAAGGCTGAATTCTGCTCTCTCTTCCGCTACAGCAACAACAATATCGTTGAAAACAACAAAGAGTTCAGCAACCATTGAAAAGAGAAAGGTAGGGTTCGTCACAAAGAAAGAAGGAGAATTGGAATGAGGATGCATGATTAATACTTATTTGGAGAAGGTCAGTTGAAGCCTTGAAATGTCGATTGAGAACCCCATGATGGAGCCAAACCACTGAGAAAGCGGAGGCACTTTGCCGGAAACGCGAGAGGGGAATCACACGATGGTGAGGCTTGGGGATGTAACCGCCAGTCGTGGTGGAAGGAGAGAGCAACCCACGTTTTTTTTTTTTTTTTTGCCGAAGAAAAATCAATCATTTCATTCGCGAACAAAAAATCAATTTATGGATAGTTATTATTTTAAAATAATTAACATACAATTTATATGGTAAGTCAAGCAAAATTTATAAAGATAATTATCATTTAATTATCTGTTGGTAGGTTAAATCTATGTGTTTTTAATACATGGTGAAGTTGAGCGTGAAGTGGAAGTGGTGGTGGCTCTGTTGGTTCATGATCTTCAGCTGATGATATATTTTTGGGGTTATGGATGAAGATGAAAGGCAACTAGGATTTTTTATAGATAGTTGTTGTGTTCTCTGTAATTGATGTTGATATATTGGTATAGTTTATTTAAGTTTGTTAAGGTGAAACTTCCATGCAGAATATATGATATACCATGTCCTTTCATTGTATCAGTCTATCATATTCGAGTCTTGTTTTGAGATTTCTTGACTAATACCAATTCCACACCAAACACCTACGAAAATCAAACCTGCTCAGACTCAAATGAGACAACAGAAAAGATATTCATAGTCACCAATTGGGCAACCCAATTGTCACCCACCCCACCAAACTAAAACAAAACCTTGGGAAGACATCCCTAAGGTGTACTACTTTCTCCAAAATGGCTCTACCACAACTATCACCAGAGCGATCTTGTGCGTGTGCGGGGAGACCCTCTAGCACAGTGTTTCCAAATTATAGGAATCTCTACGACCTTCATTATACATAGGGAAAATTACTATTGTGTATCGAATATTAGACCACTTGAGACAGAACTGTACGTGGGCACCGGGCCGGGCCGCCCACGGGCTAGCACGGCACGAGCACGGGCACGAAATAAATGGGCCAACCCGGCATGAGCACGAATAATTTATGGGCCGCCCACGGGCTAGCACGGCACGAGCACGGGCACGAAATAAATGGGCCAACCCGGCATGAGCACGAATAATTTATGGGTCGTGCTAGGGCTACACTTCATGGGCACGGGCACGGGCACGACACGGTACATAAGTGAACCGTGTTGGGCCTAATATTTTAGATATTTTATTGAGTATAAGAACAGACATGGATATAGTTTTAAATAATATTGTAATGAGTTTTATTTTTGGATTGATGTTTTATTTATATTTTATTAGATTTTTACAAAAAATAAATTGGGCTACATTTTATTTATAGAACAGAGCCTTCCAAATTTCAGAATCGGCCCCGGCTATCACACAACATAGCGATAACACCTAAATTGGTGTTATTTATCCTTCATTTTGAGGTTTGTTTCGTGTCAATTCATGAACATAATTGCTTGAACATTGTCAATTGCATCTCTATTTCTTTCCTATTTGAATTCGATGTGATTTTAGGGTGTGTTAGACGATAATTGCGAATTTGGTACAAAACAAGGTCACATGTGTAGAAAGTGGACAAAAGACTGAAGATCATGGCCAAGAAGATAAGATCACGGCGGAGATCATGGACTGCGAAGTCAAGCAGAAGATCGCAGCCTGGAAGCCCAAGATCGCTGCCACGAATTGGAGGCCTCAGAGCACAAACTTCACGAAGAAGTAGCCGAGGAGAAGCATGGAGTTTCCCTAGTCGAATCA